AACCCAAGGCAACACACTTTTGAAATGGCCCTGAAATTGCATGTCTCTCATGAAACAATATGTAAACATCTAGGGAATATGGGAAAACTCCATGAAGAAGGTGCTTGGGTGCCTCACGAACACTCTGATGATCATCATTTCCAACGTGTGAACGTTGTCATTCGTCAATTCTGGCGCATAATGCGCGTGAACTATTTTAGGACAGAATTGTCACCAGTTATGAAAAATGGATTCTCTATGTGAATATTAAATGCCAAAAATAATGGCTCAATCCAAAAACCACTTCTGACCCCAAAACCTGGACTCCATCTGCAGAAAGTGATGCTTTGCAATTGGTGGGACATCAAAGGAGTAATTCATTTTGAACTCCTCAATCCACAGCGAACTGTCAATGCAGAGATCTATAGTCAACAACTGGAACGTTTAAATCAAGCCCTTCATCAGAAACACCCTTCACTCGTCAATCGGAAAGGTGTTCTTCTCCACAACAATACACATCCACATGTGGCACATTTGATGAAACACAAGATTATGGAGTTGAGTTGGGAAGTTCCCCCATCCACCATATTCTCCAGTTACGCCACCATCAGATTACCATCTGTTTCGTTCGCTGCAACACCATCTTAATGGGAAAACATATGTAAATGTGGAAGGCATTAAAGAGGACATCGACATGCTTTTTGCTTCAAACATTAACAACCTAATTGTAAGATGTAAAAGCATTATCAATAAGAATGGAGACTATTTCATTTAATAAATGTTTTGTTTTGATATAAAAGTTGTTTGGGTTTTTTCATATATATAAATCAACATTAATTTCTTGATGACCTAATATTTATTTGCACTTATAAGAGGTTTGCATTTAGTTTTTAAGTTAGTGCTCAATGTTTGGTAAGAAATTATCAAACTTACTACAATCTAAGTTTAAACACTAGACAGGTAGTCCAGATTACAGTAAACTCGAGGAGTATTTAGCAGCATACAAAACTTACTATTTTTAAAGTTATTTCTTAAATTATTGAGAGTAAAATGAAAAATCTATCTTCGCAGATAATTATCTAATGTGTATTAATTCTTTTGAAAAGAAATGTATACAGTTATTTCATTAACTTTGAGACAATCTTTGAGACAAGTCAAAGTTCCGTAGCAGATTCATAGCTGCCATTCTATTGCTGTTCCATATTTGATAGTAAACCTGAAGGTTAACTTATCTTAAGCCTTTTCAGTTTGTGAATTTGTTTATTGAATTCCATACAAAGGTATCCAAGGACAATATGCACTAGCTGTCCCTAATTTTAAAGTAATAGACTAGAGGAAAGGAAACTACTCAACACCACCCATTGCTAGCTCTTGGGTTACACTTTATCAATGAATAGAGGGATTAACCATCACATTTTAATGCCCCAACAGCTGAAAGGGTGAGCATGTTCAATGGTGGGATTCAAATCTATGACCCACAGGCTGCAAGTCAAGTGCCCTCACTACCAGGTCATGTAAAGACTCTCCATTTGTGAAAAGCTAAAAGATTTTAAATTCATTCTTCAACATTTTCTAAGAGCCAATAAGTGTGGAAAAGCAACTTTACTATAGCATTTGTACACTTATTTGTCACCACAATTCATTGACTTTTGGAGGTCTGATCTTGATTTCAGGGACTTCCAAAAAATCACATGAATCAAATGGTAGCTTGTACTTATAACCACATGCTTTTCAACACTGAATATTAATTAGTTTTATATTATGAGCTCTTTAAAAAATAAGCTAGAACAAAAAATTAAAAATAGTAAGCTACTGTATTACTTTTGATGACGAGGAATCCACTTTGAAACTAATAATGGTTGGAGATGGCTTGAATGGGTAATAAAGAAAAACTTTAATATAAGTTTAACACAACAGCAAATGTACAACGTTTCGACAAGGTTTTGTCATCGTTAGGTTAGGTTGTCACCTGATGATGACAAAACCTTTTCTAAACGTTGTACATTTGCTGTTGTGTTAAACTTATATTAAAGTTTTTCTTCATTACCCATTCAAGCCGTCTCCAACCATTATTAACTGTATTACTTTATTAAACAGAAAATGAGAGTCAAAAGATTTTCCCCTTCAATGAATGACAGTATGCAAATTCTCTAGTGAAGAAAAAAAAAAAAGACCCCTTTCTTAATGATTTTTGGTTCAAACAGACAATCGTTATTATAAAAATTCTTTTTTTCTTCACTTTCCAAAAATACAACAATAAGGTTTAATAATAAACTTCAATGTTCTGAAGTTTAAATGAAATTTGTTCTGTTCAAAATAATAATGATGAAAAATGTAATTATTGATGTTATGGAACTTACTGATTAATACAGTTTTGTGACAGTTATTCACCTTTATTGAAATACATTAAATCTAGCCCAAAAATCTATCAAATCTGTGAAAAGTAGCCCAAAAAGTTGCTTCCCACAGTTCCTCAATATTTCTCCCAGCCATTTTCTCATGTAGCCCAATACCATAAGGAAACCATTAACCTAGCTACAGTACTTTCCTGTTTACATATTGTATATTATTACACTTTATTTCATAAATACTTATCAATGTCCATAGTATAAAAAAAAATTGCTTTACTTAATTATATTTATATAATCTACAAGTAGTTCTATCCTAAAAAATAAAATAAAATAAATAAAAGTTTAAGACATTTTGGTACTGAACTCAAAGGTGATGTCACCCGAATGTTTTTGATCCTTCATTTTTGGAAGATGAGCAATAATTATTCGATCACACAATTATCTGCATTATCCAAAGTTTGTGGATAGCAATTTTATTTTTTTCCTGTGGTAATTAATGTTTAATTGTACTAATTGACTACATAGTTTCTTTACAATAAATAACAATTTCTTTTATTTATGTACATTATTTGAATGTGATAAACTTAACAATAATATTCTATACATAAGGAAATTTCTTTTATTTATGTACATTATTTGAATGTGATAAACTTAACAATAATATTCTATACATAAGGATCCGAATCATTGAAATATTTTGTTGTTGACTACTGTACTCATTGAACCAAACTAAACTGATCAGATGTTTTGCAATAAAAGACAATTTCTGTAGCTTTCATACAAATATAATTTAACATAAAATCATTTTTAGGAATAATAGTAACACCTAAGGAAACTACAAAAACTTTTCAGGTTTGTTCCCAAGCTTTCAAGCTTCTCATAAGATTCATATCTCTACAAGAAATACAACTAGTCACTTTCCACAAAACCCAAAATTAATTTTCATTTTCCACTGATGTAAGTAAGCTATAATCTGCTGTATCCAATCATACTTAAACATGCCTGTAACTATTTTCAAAGCTTAACTACATTAATAAAAGTTGTTCAGATCACATATTGCAAGATCATAAAAGAGTGGAAACAAAGAAATGTACTGATAACAACATTAAAAGTGTTTTTGTTATCAAGCACAAAGCTAAACAATAAGTTAGCTGTACCGTGCCTATTGTGAGTATCAAAACCCAATTTTTAGCATTAGAAGCCCTCAGACTTACAGCTCAACCACTGGGGGCACCAGTGATAGAAAGAAAATCATATTCTCAAGGAATGATAGTTTCTTACTAAATGTATGCCTATGCATTAGGATTGGCATAAAAAAAATCTGTATAGAGGTGAAAGTTACAAAAAAATTTTCTTTATAAATTACACTGAATAAATGTTACAAAATGAAAAAATATTACTAAGTAAAAAACTGTTGAAACAGTTACAATGGTTATTTTTTATCTATATTTTGAAATCTCATTCATTACACCTGAATGGTGCTCCATGGTTCAAAAAGGGTAAACTTCCTTGATTTTATCATTTTATTGTAAAAAATGACTTGTACTATGGTACAACATATAAAGAGGAAATGAGGTAACATTCTAACCGTGAATTCTTTAGAATCCTTACACATTTAAAACAACTGGTGTCAAGTCTTTTGGTTAAGTAGAGTTGCATCATTTGTTTTATCCTTGATGTTATACTGTTTCTAGTACTGTTTGACAATGGACACTACACTCACTCTTTGATAATACCAAACACCAAACAACCCAAAAAAAGAAAATGAAAGTTACATTTGCATGAAACTAAATCTTAAATTTGAACGTCGTAAGAGAGTTATAACAAGCACTACCACTAGACGAAAAATATATGAACATTAAACTAATAAAGAAACGTTCGAGAAAAATCGATGCGAACATAATGAGAGTTATTTGCTAAGTAAACAATTGATGGTAGTATTGTTGGAAAAGTTAATCAGGTGCTGACTTGTTTCAAGCATATGATCTTAAATTATGTGTTCAGTCTTAAATCTTGGACTCGACACGCTAACAGTTATGTCTCAACTCTCCCTTAAACGTCTCAGTATTCACCATTTTCAAATTTCTTTGAAGAATTGTTATGAACCTAATAGGAAAATGTACCTATTTATTTGTATGATAAATTCATACTGAAGTTAACTTAGAAACAGTACTGTTTCTAGTACTGATGTTATACTGTTTTCTAGTTTTAGAAAAATACCATCAATATATTTTGCAAGTAACTAAAGTTTGTTGAGCAGGTTTTACTATGTATACCCACAAGAGTTTCCTATGTATTTTTTTTTTTTATATGTAAAAGAAAACAATTTAGTGTGTAAATAATAATCAAATTGATTATTAATAAAATCAGTTATCAAGTAGACTAGTATAGGTTTGCACAAAGAAAGAATCATTTATATATATATTTTTAATCACAAAATGTGAATTGAATTTTTAACTAGCCTACGAGAAAGCAAAAGGTTTCCTTTTAAATACACTTGTTGTGGAAAAGCAACAACACAAAAACAGTCTATTTACTAAAAGTAACCTTTATTTGGAGCTCCAACCTGTCTCTCTGCAATAACATTGGCACAAAGAGTGAAGGCAGACGTTGAAAAGTAACGACCTGGCTCAGCAACTATATCAACACCACTATCCAATGGAAAATGTTTCTCTAAAGCTTGATTTACCGCATGAGCAATCTTGAAAAAATACAGAAAAAAGTGATATATACTGCTAGTTGAATGTACATTAGACTTTCAAACACTTTTAAAAATAAAATAAATTCAAAAAAGCAAGATTTAAAATGAAAATTATGAAGTCATGAATTTGTATGCATATGAAAATAGCATTACCTCATCAAAATCAGGACTCTCCTTTTTTGCTCCAGGAAAACCTCCTCCTATGTTCAGAATGGTCATATTAAAGTTCATGCTTATAGCCTTGTCAAACACTTGACGAGCAGAATGTATGGCTTTATCATAATCTGTTTTGTCTACACAGTTACTGCCAACATGGAAGCTGCAAGAATTAAGAAAATGTAAATAAGAATAAAAAAAATAAAATACTCATATAATTATTATGCCAAGTCTGATGAATGTATAAAAAGTTTAACAAAAGCTAAGAAACCATGTTTCTGGTAACATCTATTACTGCTAGTAAAAACTTACTTTTTCAAGAAATATGCTTGCTACAAAAAAAATGATACCTACTTTAAGAAGTACAACAATGAGGTTTTAAATTAAAACTTGTAACATAAATCATTATTCTGCCAAATAATTAAACACTGTAATAAAAAGCATGAGGAGTTTCTTTTTTCTGAAAGAAGAAGAAGGAAAAAAAAACAACAAAACTGAACAACATATGGCCTTCATTCTTAATCTAAGTAAATCAATAGGTTCTTTAACCCTCTTTACATGGGTCACGGGTCAAAGGCCATGTCAGCACATTTGTTCACTCGCATTAAAATTTTTATTG